TGTTAACACATAACTGGTATTTTTATGTGTATCTTCTGCTTATCCATATGTTATACACCTCCTCTAAATTTGTGCATTATTACTCACATTTTATTAACCATCACCTCATGATTTTTTTTTTAAGGATTTTAACCAACTGGAAACTGTTTGAACAGATGCCCTATGCTGAGAGGTAGGACTGGTAACCACTCTGCTACTGTGCACTCCATGACTCAGCAAAAGTACAGGCTCAAACAGACTGTCTCTGTCTCTCTCCTCTCACCTCTTTGGTTCAGTGGGCGTCCAGATGTTGTTTGGGCATTGATTTAGTATTGTGTGTAACATACTGTATCTATAGCCCCATATGTGTTTTTGGGTGTGTTTCTGTTGATGAGGATTTTCACAATTTTCTTACCTTCAGCATTTTCTTTCACTGGTTAGGTTAATGACATACTACCAGGACACATTTAGGCATGATGAAACAGAAAATATCTGAAGCCACACTCATATTCAAATACAATAGAGCAAAGAAGAAATAGTAAAAGCAGAAAAAAATCTATAGACTCTTCACATCAATACAACATTTCTGATGGTTGCTGCGCTGTTCCATTAAAGGTGCACTGCGCAACTTTTCTGGTGGAGGGACTGCCACCTGCTTGTCTTCAAGGAGATGTCATTGCTCTCCCTGGAATGTTCCATGGTATGACATCCTGTGGCCTTACCAGCTTGTCAAAACCTGATCCCGTCAGATCTCAGAAGCTAAGCAAAGCTGGACCTGGTCAGTACTTGGATGGGAGGCTTCTGGGAAAATAAGGTGCCACAGTTACAAAAACTGTTGTTGTGTCCTTAGGCAAGACACTTCACCCACATTGCCCAGTAAAGTTGTGTGTGTTTGAGTGTTGGTGGTGCTTGGAGGAACCGATGGCGCAGATATGCAGCCTCGCTTCTGTCAGTCTTCCCCAGGGCAGCTGTGGCTACAATAGTAGCTTACCACCACTGGGTATGGAGTGAATGAATAATGCTCTGTAAAGTGTCTTTGAGTGTCAAAAATCCCCTCCAAAAAAACCCACTATTCAAACTGATGCATTATTATTTTATTTTACTCAACATATCCCTCTAGCATTTATTCATTAAGGGTGTTTGTATTGGTCAAAAATACAATAAATCCTTCTTTGAATAGGGATAACACTCCACAGATCTGACCTGTAATGTAGCATACTGGTGTAACCAGCTTGTCACTATTGTAATAGATGGTATAGGTATATATATATATATAGGTTTAATAGGTTTAATCTATACTGTGGAACATTCTAGATAAAGCTATAACATTTCCATCGACACAAGAAGGTGGCAGACAGACCCTCCACTAGAAATGTTACACAGTGCACCTTTAAATAGAAAAGAATGAGGCCTTTTTGCACCAATATTTGCCTCATACAGACCGGCTGACTTTCACATTTACATCTTCCTACTTGGTGAGTGGTGGATAAAGTAATGGAAAACAAACAAATATAACTTTGATTACAATTTCATCAAGTGTTGAGCTTTTACAGTGGCAACGGTTATTTGTGCATACTGTATAAACCATTTTTCTGTTTGATGTATGAGCAAAATTAAAAATAAATGCATCTTCTTGCTCAGATCACAAGTTTTCATTAGCTTGCAGACATTTTGCAATAATCCAATTTTCTATTTAATAATTTAATCACTATTAATGTGCAAAGTAAAATATTCAATTTTCTGACCAATCTCAATGATTACTCCTCTGTAATCTGATCACCCTGTATCTGCCTCTAAAATACCACTTCATTAACTTCATGCATTTAGTCCAAAAGTGAGTGTTTAATTTGGAAATGGATGAGTGGTGTGCACAGAGCCAAGCGCGTGTGTCCAGTGAGAAAAGAAGGCCTTTAATTGCATTGTTCTGTGTTTATTAGTGGGTGAGACTTACATTAACCTTTTCATTGAGCCTGACATTTCTTTTCCCACTAAATGGAGAATTAAAGACCATTGGAAAGCCATTAGTGTAATTTACTGCTTCTGTTGACTGGTCAGCTATTAGAGAGGGCTGCACGACCACTGCACTTCACATCAGCGGCCACGTCTCAAGTTTACTTTTGAATTGAAACACTTCACACAAGCATGGGGCTACTTTCTGTGAGCTGAAATCTTTAACAGTGTCTTTAAAGCAAGACACAGCAAGGTGGTATCAAGGTGGACAGACACACAGTGGAAAAAACATGTTTGAGTTTGTTCATGCTAGGATGCTCCAATCTCTGCTACATTTAATTTATTTAAGTTTGAGGGAAATTAATAATACATGAATGAATGAAGGAATTTAAGCACTAAAGACATTTTTAAGCAAACAATAAATAAAGCAAAGTAAATAAATAAACAAATAAAACCTAAAGAAATGTAAAAAACATGCTTCAAACATTCCCAGAAAAAAAAAAAAAAAAGTCTTGTTGGCTGTATTCAAACATAGCACGTTCAAACGTAACATGTCCCATACACGATCTTGAGCCCTGGCCAGGAATTCTGAGAAGCTGCCTGAGGCTGCCACCTAGTGCGAGTAAACTGAATGACATGTCTTCGCAAGAATGAAGGTTACATTCGTGCATTAGTTTATTTTTGAGAATCAACCCAAAGCAAAGGTGAAAATGCCGCCGCTGTTAAAGGGGCTGTTTCTTTGAGTTGTTTTGCTGTTAGTTTGTTGTTTTCTAGTAACAGTGTTGACAGTGACTGATTCGGAACTTAAATTCCAAAAAAAGTCACCAAAGTTGTGAAGGAGGCAGTAGCTAAATGTAAAAGTATACTAAATTAACATTATTTTCCTGATTATTCTTGACAGTCTGAAGCTCCTTTATTAAGTGTATTTATATATTGTATGTTTTCTACAATACCTTTACTCAATTTATTTATTTAACTTGAAAAACCTCTCTTTTCTGTACTGAAGTCCTTCCTGTATCTAAACATATAGATCTAACTTACCCGCTTGCACCATTTGCATGACCTCTCTGTTGCCCAACTTCTTTCTCAGGGTCATGTAGGTACAGAACTCCAAAGCTCTAATTCTGTTATTAGAATAAAATGATTTGAGAGAGTGACTAGCAGGCCCCTAATATTAGCCCATCAAAATGCAGATGTGGTAAATATGTCACATAGTTTTGTCACGTCAGAGTTCCTTTTTTAATGGAATCATAATTAGACTTTTACACCATGTGAGTAGCCTAACTGGTAAAATGAGTAGAGCGTTCTTAGCATTATAGGCACACACATAGCTGCACTCAGGTTGCAGCTTCGAGGCACAACATACATCCCAGAGGCATAGCAACAGCTGAAAATGAAATAGTGGAAATTTAGCTTAGAAATGCTGGTTGGCAACAATACATTACTCAAAATGGATGATATACGTGCTTCTCAAATAACAAGAATTCCTCATTTGCCATTTAGCACAGTTTGGGCCAGTGTGCACTTCCCATATGCCCCTGACACCTGTTAGTATGTGTATTCGATTTGTATATTTTGACACCTGCTGGTCCGTGTATTTGAGCTGTATGTTTTACAGTGGGCATGCGTCACTGATCAATATGTGTGATAGTCCTAGAGTGTTGTAACTATATGGTCCACAGACTGACACTTGGTATTACTATTAGTAGGTATACTCTGGTGCCATGAGACTGAACTTGTGGCTCATAAAAACTTACATAACCCTCTATATATTTAGGCCTGTTACAATGACCAATTTTGATGCACGATAGATTGCTACAGAGATATCCTGCGATAAACAGTAATATTAAAACTACTTTATGTCGCTGACGCAAAGCAGGATAACACCAGTAAACCCAATTATTTATCCAACCTTCTACAGCTCAAATTTTATGCTGTTACATAAAAATGTCAAAAATCTCCCCACTATTGCGAAGAAAAAGTACCCACAAAAAATAATGAGCCCGAAAATATATTGTATTATTGAAATTGATATTGTAATTATTGTGACAGGCCTATATAAAGTATACGATTTATACTGAAGCAAATACTGATGATAAACAATAACACTGAAACTAATTTCTGACACTGACACAAAACTGAGCTGAATGGCACACTTTAGCACTTCATTTGTATCTATAATAACTAATAGAAGTTATTCATTCAACCTTCCACAACTCAACTCTTATCGTAGAAGAGAAAAATAACAAAAACGTCCTCACTAGTGCAATAAAAGGGTCCCCATGATAAATACTGAACCCCCCAAATGATTGGTTTGTCTAACATGTACTCATTATTACCATTTATACTGTAGAGCTGCTCTTTGCTGTTTTATATATTGTGATGTGTGAGCAATTGTGTCCAAATAATTTCCCTTGTGGATTAATAAAGTTTGTGTAAATCTAAATCTAATGAACAATAAATTGATATAGTAATTATGGTGACAGGCCTAATCAGAGCTAATAGCTGTAACTGTAGCTGAGAACTGACAAAAGAATACGATATAGCGGCTGTGTGAGATGTAGTCATGGTCAAGCGGCCAAGTTGGCAGTGATAAAGAATACATACTATTCAAGGCAGTGAGGTGGGATTATGTCAGGATTAGTTCAACAAGGCTCCACATTCATGTATTTATTAGGGTGATGATGGAAGCAATGCAGTACGCACAACATAAGCTCGAAGTGCCTTGGTCTTAAACTATTTGTTTTGTGTTTAAATCTAATGAGACACACTCACAAGCTCCAACAGTCAATGGAATTCATTTTATTACCATTTTAATTCTGTATTTCATGTGATCTTGTATTGCAAATTATTACATAACTGTTTTTAACTTCTTTACCTGCTGCAACATTATTATTATTTATTTATTTATTCAGTAATTTCTAGCTTTTCTGTTTAAAAAGTTGTAATAATGCAGATATTCATATATGGATTATTGGGTATTTTGGACACTGCTCACATGCTGTAATAAAATATCAGTTTATGTGTATTTCCTGTTAATATACTTTTTGACCTTTTTGGTTTGTTTTGACAGAACTGCGAAGCTGTGATCCGATCATGAGTCATACCAGAGAGGCGGACTCTTTATATCAGCATCTGTATTCAAACCCACAAGTACAAGGTGAATTGTTGTGTCTCTAGGCAAGACATGTCTCCCTCATCCTATTCTCTTGAGAGCTTTTGGCACAAAAAAAACTGGATTGTATAGTAGCAAGTACTTACAGGTCCTCAAAGAACTGTTAACCCAGTCATTCCCAACCTGTGGGTCAGGTCCCCAAGGATTCTTAGGGGGTCCCCAGGGGTCAAGGTATAGCATCTTAATTCCTTCTATAAAGTGTTTTAGAGTCATTACTCTTCTATAACATCTTTATTAACCAGAAAATAATAATATTTTCCTCACTTTTTAATACTACTACAGTACAGTAGTTTACATAGGATTTAGGATATTTGGGTCGCTAATGTATCATTGAGTAAAAAAAAAGTAGGGGTCACTGTGAGAAAAAGGTTGGGATCACTGTGTTAACCTATTTTTTCCACATCTTTAAACTTGACACCGTGTATTTCTGATGTTTTGTGCCTTTTTTGATTCAGTGCCAAGTTTAAAAAGCACATGATGTTTGGAGCATAAAGTCAGAGGATGGTGATATCCCATGTGAGATTAATGGCCTGTACTTCCTTCCGTCTTCATTGAAAAGACACATTTTTTGACCCTAAAATGTCTAAAAATAGCCGTTAGTGCGGATGTTACTGCTTTCTTATGTAAGCTGTGGCCCAATGTGTCCGGGGTGAGAAGCTGTACAGAGAGTCTAGTAAAATAAACTTTGAAATTCTTCTTCTTTGAAATTCAGAATTACAGAGCAAATTGTGTAAGCAAACAGGATTATGTGATTTACCAATTGTAAATATAACTTCCTTTGGACTTTTTATTATTGGGGTTGCCAGATTCAATTAATTCTCTTGATGACTGTATAAAGTTCAGGACAGTGCAGTGCTCCTGATGAAACCTACTATATTTTCTGCACCTTGCATAATGATTCCCTTAAATTGTTGGTAATTTTTTTGTTACTATAGCTGTTTCTGGTGACGAGTTGACTGAGTTTGCATGTAAGTTCAATTATCAGACCCCCTTTTTAACCTGTGCTAATATAACTTAAAACATGTCACATCTGCAACTGAAATCAGAAGTTTACTGCACGCTCACTATATAGAAATATGTCATTAAAACATCTTGTTATAGCTTCTTTATGGCTTTACCTACATATCATTTCACCAGTAAATCTCAAACTGGTTTGAAATGCGCCCTGCTTTTAAATGATCACTCTAGCAATCTCCAGCTACCACTTAGCTCCACTTCACTCAGTGCTAATCTTAATGAACGCTGGCACTAATTTATGAGTGGTAATGGTTGAGAGAAGGGTCCCGGGACAGGTCGCGGGACTTTGATCTCACAGCCGTCTCAATGGAGCTGGGGGAGCAGGGAAAGTGTGGGAGGGCATTACTTGTTCATCAGTTTTATCGTTGCCTATGTTTAGATCTTGGATCACAGATGTCTTCGGCTCAAGTATCAGAGCCTTCAGTGCAGTGACTGGGACAAACAGCTAGTCCCTGCCCTGAGCTTCAGCAGAACACTCTTAAACACACGCAACGCCAACCCCAAGAGACACGAGAGAGGCCGATTTTGTCAGTGTTAGCAGATGTACCAGAGGAGGAAATAGGACAGCAAAGACCAGGATTATAGTGGGTTTCAATGTGTTCTACTTGAAAAACCTGCACCATGACTCAACAAGGGGAAGAAGAGGACAACCTTGCGCCAGTCACTGATCCTAAACAGTCCTCAGTGCATTTCCTACGAGATGTGGTTTTTCATGGCAAGTTTGAGGTGAGAAATCAGATATATTTGTTAGTTTTTTAAATCTGCATGCACTACATACTATACAAAATGATCGTCTGCACTGTTATACTGTTATAGGTATACCATGTGTTGTCAGTTTAAAACTAGAGAGATGCCAGGTAAAATATCCAAAATGTTGATGTTGCCTTTTCTGGCTTCCAACAACAGACTCATTTCATTCACAGTTTCAGAGGTTAATTTGAACGAAAGTTATGAATGGATCGAGAATGTATCTTGTTACATTCGTCAGCATCACAACACATACCAATAAACTTCATTTGACACTCCAAACACCACGGGTCAAGCAAGGAACCCTCTCAGAACTATGTAAAAAATAATAAAAAAATTGTGTTCAAATTTGTACAGTGAAAAGCAATCAAATCAACTTGTGTAACTGATCCATAGAGGCCCCATCGTTAAGATTTTCTGGGCTCTAAACTAACTAGGGCATCTCTTGAAGAAATAGCTCATCATAAAAAATGTATAGTAATTTCATTTGTGCACTACTTTTAAGGAATTTACCTTTTTACAGTGTCAATATGCGAATGCTCAGTCATTGTTTTTGATTGTCTAATATGGAGCTTGATATGAAAAAAATAGTGTTGAAAGGAATAGTTTGGTTATTGCGACAGCTGCATCTCATTTCCCTTTAGTTTGGGGAAGCCCTTCTCTGCCCTTTATTTTTAATGCAAGGGACCACCCACTATGTTCATGGGAATATCCAATGTATCCGTGTATCCAAGTGTTGCAACCAGTAAACTATTTTTAACATTACAGTGACTACATTCAAACACATTTTAATTCTGACTAAGACTACGCGCCTAGACACTTAGTAATGGGAGTGATGGCATTAAATGTCTGTTACCTTAAAAGACTGGGGCCAGTTATGTTAAATACAATAAAGTCGTAAGTAAGATTGTTGAAGTAGAGCTGCGGATAGTTTACCCTCAAATTTGAGACCAGTTTCTATAAGAGTAGTACCTGCTAAGACGTCATTTTTACTAAAATTCTTCATTTATTTACAGGAATTATTATTTGTTTATTTGTTAGGGACTGTGCATGTTTATGAAAATACATATACATACTTAAACATGCCAGATGTAACCATGTGGCCTGATTTCCACCTATTGTCCCACATTCACACTCACAAAAACACTCCCGTCCATCAGCACATATGAACACTGGAGGCAAAGTGGGTGAAGTGTCTTGCCCAAGGACCCAACAACAGTATTCACTAGAGCTACTGCTGCCTCACTGTGGCACCTGGCATTCCCAGCGCGCTCTCATCCAAGTACTAACTAGGCCAAACCCTGAGTTTACAAGGTCAAAGGTCGGGTATTGTTCAGGTGGTTGACGTTGTCCACTTAGTCTATCTTACATTTTAGATTGTATCCCAGTATATCAGAATCCCAAAATTAGTTGTTTCAGCATTTATTGTTACAAACTGCATCTGTTTATGTAGAAACTTCCTATCCATATCACTGTTAAATTGTACACAGATTTTATTATGTATATGTACTGGCTCGTGACGGCATATCAGAAACGTCAATTAAAAAGAGTTTAAGGAAATGTTTGATATTTCATGGTAATGTTTGATAATCATTCAGTTGTTGGATGTTTCATTGAATGTTTGAATTCATGATTTAAGGTGTGTAAATGTAATTTTTAGGTAATGCACAACTATAATGTAAAATTTTATGTATTCATAGGTGGATGGATAGTATATTAAATACTAATCCTTTTGTTTTTTTTGGTTTTTTTTTTGCCTCTTCCTGCACCTTCTTTTTTTATCTAGTATGCCCTTTTTTATTGTTTTCTTTCTATTTATATTTTTGCTGCAGCTCCTTAAATCAGCGACCCCGGATGAAAGCACGTGTTTCCAGAAGGGTCTGTACTTCGAGGACGGTCAGAGGAGAGTGGATTACGTCCTCACCTACAATCTGAAGAAGCCCTGTGGCAGTCGCATCAGCAGATATGTACCACATATGCACCATGACAACTCCCTCCACCACGGCACCCAGAACAAAGACAAAAACGCTGCACAGTCTAAAGTAGGACAGAGAACCTCCATCGCTGGGTTTGGATGGGAGCTGGGATCTCAAGGAGAGGATGATAAGATCCTTCAGAGAGAGGACTATGAATCAAAACTCAGAGATATGGGGCTGGAGTTGGAGAAAGAAGAGAATGTGAGTATATCGTTTTATTTATTTTATTGGCAATTACCATATCCATATAAAGCATAAAAAAAACAGTTATATGTACAGTTACTCTCTGATCATATTTTTTATTCTGTGTAAACTTTCTATACCCTCTTTACTATGCTAAATACAGTTGTACAAATAACACATACACTTTGCATGAATCACAATAAGGGTAAGGTCCCAGGAGTGGGTTTTGTAAAGATTCACGCTCCCTGGAATGTTCTGTGTCGAGAGGCAGAGTTCATGAAGCTGAAGATGCCAACCAAAAAGGTCAGACTCATGTTGCCATAACAGCCTGTGAATACAGATGCAAAGTGAGACCAGTGGAGTTAAACAAAAGTTGATGTTTGTTTTCTATCAGTGCTACGAAGTGAAACAGTCCAGTGGTTTTGTGGAGAAGCTCATGTCTTTGGCCAGTAAAGTGGTGGAGCCTCTGCACCCCCACGTGGAGGAGCACCATCCCAAGAACGTCAAGTATCTGTCGCACACTTTCTCCAGAGAGAAATCACATCTGTAAGTTTAGTCTGGGCTCATGCAGTATTGTGTGTCTAGATTCATTTCTGTACTGATAAACCAGTTTCTACCTTTTGTTGTTCACAGGTTTGATCTTTCAGACAAAGACTGCTTCTTCGACAGTAAAACAAGAAGTTCAATTGTAAGTTTTGTTACACATGTTATATACAGTATTACATATTCAAATAATGACTAATGACAAAGCTTATAGTGCATCTAAATGTTGACAAAATATTAAGTTTGTGACAAGTTTATAATCATCTAAGTCAAATTATTGATCTTATTTTAAATTATTCTCTTTCAGGTTTATGAAATTCTAAAAAGAACTAAAAGCAAGGCAAAGTACAGTATAGGTAAGTGAATCATTGTCCTTTATTTTATATGGTCAAATGAACCTCAGTGATTTCTTTCTCTTCTTCATCACAGGCATAACAAGTCTGTTGGGTAGAGGTGTGTACACAGCAGCTTACCCTCTACATGATGTGAGTACACTTTGGAATGTCCTAATCCTTTAATAATGTTCTATTTGCAAGAAGTATCTGGCAAAAATAAATATTGTATATTTAATTTTGTACATTGTATTTTCTTTTATCATCACATTTACAGGGCGACACAGAGGAGTATGCAGAGCCAAATGACAGAAAGGTATGAAGCAATCCCATTTCAGTCACATACACAATATGTGTACTGTGTGTTAGTTGGCTTTGTAGAATAGAAAACACATACATTGTACATTACACAGGCCTAAACAGACAAATCCAGATCTCACTGATGGAAACATGTTTTACTGTATGAAAAGTAATTTATATTTACATGTATCCTTTAGCTTTTGTATGAGGAGTGGGCAAACTACAGTGTATTCTACAAGTACCAGCCCATTGGACTAGTACGGTAGGCATGAGCTAAACCAACATTTTGCAAAGAAAATAATTTTCTCTGTTTTACTATTTTGCACTTTGTCTTTCATAAGAAAATATTTTGGGGAGAAGATCGGCCTTTACTTTGCCTGGTTAGGTCTGTACACCCAGATGCTGATTCCAGCGTCTGTTGTGGGAGTTATCGTCTTTCTTTACGGCTGTGCAACAGTCAATGACAACATACCAAGGTGCAATAGACAGTCTGATCATTTGATTTTAATGAAGATTAAAACATAAATCTGGGTTTGTGTTTAAATTTTAAAGTTGTCATTCTATCCCTCTGTAAAGCTCAAGCAGACCTATCTTTAGATGTCAAATGTAATGTAGAAAGAACTGACTAAAATAATTAACTTGTCACTTAAGAATACAGATATTGGAGATTTTAGAGATCGCCATCAAATTAGTCTTGTCTGCTGAGATGTACTGAAATAAATCTAAGAAAACATTTTATAATTATTTTATAATTGTTTCTTACAGGGGTGCCATTTTCATTTCCATGAAAACTAAAAGTTAAATGTGTGTTTGTGTTTTTCAGTATGGAGATCTGCCACCCCAGGAACAACATCACCATGTGTCCTCTGTGTGACCACGTGTGCAGCTACTGGAAGCTGAGCTCAGCCTGCGGCACAGCTCGAGCCAGCCACTTATTTGACAACCCCGCCACCGTCTTCTTCTCCGTGTTTATGGCTCTGTGGGGTGAGTGCACAAAGAAACCAGAGTCCATATAGTGAATGTTTATGTATCATTTTAAGGGCTCATATTACGCTATTTTCTAATTTATGTTATAATGTTGTTTCTTCATCAAAAACATACCTGGAGTTGTGTTTTGTTTCATTCACACAAGTTTAACACACAAACTCTACATATTTAGGCTGTGTTCCTCTCTCAGACACTCTGTTCCACCTTGTTATGTCAAAAGGTAATACAGGAAATGCTCCATTGTGTTTTTACTGAACTAAAGGTAAACGGTAGCTGTTAACTTAAAAACTACTGCTTCATGACATCACAAGGTGTAACAGAGCAATTGCAGGTGATGATGACAGCCTAATAATACATAATTATTCAAACATGTGTGAATGAAACAAAACACAGCACCAGGTATGTTTTTGATCAGGTAACAACACTCTAACATGGCTTAAAGCTCATAGGAATCCATTTAGTGTAATATAATTTAAAAAACATTTTTTCTGTGCACATTTTCAACAGCCGCTATGTTCATGGAGCACTGGAAAAGGAGGCAGATGAGACTGAATTATGAATGGGATTTAACTGGCTTTGAGGATGAGGAGGTTTGTGATTATTTTATTACAGCTTTGGCAAATCAAGTATTGTGATAACAAATCAAATTTTAAAAAAAATATTAATAACTGTCCTTTCAAACAATTACACTATTTTAGTTTTGACTGCTCTGTTTTCTGTTTTTGGTATTTATTTTGTAGGAGGCTCTAAAGGTTTGAACAAAAATATATATTCAATTTCTAAATAATTATTATGGAATAATAATAATTATTTACTCATTTCTTTTTTCCCCTCATTTTGCCCCTATCAAACTTGATATAGAGATACATGTTGGATCTACTTTCTTAATGTTTTCTTAATTAGAGATGCACTCGTCCAACATTTTCAATTCAAATGTCAATATGTTTGATTTGTGGATAACAGATATGACCCAGGGTAGGGGGTTTGTCACCTTTTTATTTCTATGGAAACGTCATTACTCTGCTTGGAATGTTCCACAGTATGACATTAAACAGATCCAGCTTACATTTAATCAATTACAGGTGGTTTTATTGCTCAAAAATACTTCAAGAGCAGGAATTCTGACTGTGAGTGGGATTGCCACTTGACAGATGTGACCTGTAACATGGTCTGGTTTGGTCTCCATGAAGATAGAACAGTTTAATGCCATACTGTGAATCATCCAGGCAAAGCAATAACATCTCCATGGAGAAAAGCAACTGGCAGATCCTCAACCAGAAAAGATACACAATGCACCTTTAATATACAAATAACTTTTCATAAATTATCCAAATATGCTTTTCCAGAATGAGTATCAGTGCATCCCTAAGTCTTGCACAACTGCTTTTTCACTATCACTATTCACTATACTACTATCAGTATTAAAATCACTAATGTCTTTGTTCATATTTCACAGATTGCACATTCTTTTGTATAATTTTATATTTTAACTTTTTGTCCTTCTGAGTTATTGAACAACATTAAAAAGTGATTTTTCTGTCACTCTTGTTACAGGATCATCCTCGAGCCGAATATGAATTCAAGGTAATGCAGAAATCAATGAGAAAAGAAGAGAAAACACCGCACAAGGTAAATTTCTTTCTTTCTTTCTTTAAGACACGAACAAGGCCCTATTTTAATTTTCTGTTCATGATTTTCACAGCTCACCTGCCAAGATCGCTTCCCTGCCTACATGACCAACGTTGTCATGATGTTGTTAATGGTGAGAAGAATTTTATGTACCTTTTTATATTATTCATATGTATGTGTAACTTTTAGATTTCTTTTTTGTAATAGTTTTTTTTATTAAAATTTCATGCACGGGCCACCATTTTGTTTTGGGTGACCTGCACATTAAAAACACCCACAGAGCTTTATTCGAGCATTTTAGTAAAGAGATAACTGCTGAAAACAAAGCTTTATATTTTTGTCTCTCTTTCACAGATTGGCGTCACTTTTGCCATTGTGTTTGGTGTGATTATCTACAGAATCTCCACCAAAGCTGCTCTTCACATGAGCTCCAGCCCCATGTCCCGAAACCACATCCAGGTGACGGTGAAGACAACGGCCGCCATCATAAACCTGGTGGTCATCCTGGTCCTGGACGAAGTCTATGGAGCGGTGGCCCGATGGCTCACTGTGCTGGGTAGGCTGTGAATAAGCCCTATTTTACACATTATATTAATATACATGATGGTTAGTTAGTTTGTCAGGTAAATAACACTAAAAGTAGTCTGATAATGTTAAAAGTGCACTGTGTAACTTTTCCACTACATGTTTGTCTTCATGAAGATGTAATTGCTTTGCCCTGAATATTATACAGTATGAACATAAACATTACCAAAATGGAGACAGGTTACTGATCAGATCTATGGAGAAGCAAGCCTGCACAGAATAAGAATTAATGTTTTCAAGTTATTTTTGAACTGTACAGCTCCTGTAACTGAATACATGCAGAGCAGATAAGTTTAAAGCCATACTGTGGAACATTCTCATGGAGACAAGCGAGTAACCAGCCCTCCACCTTAGAAGTTACATAGTGCACCTTTAAGACTGATCAGAAACGGGTGGAGTATCCATAAAAGGTACTGTTACATCAAAATAAAAATAACAATACTCAAGTAGAAGTAGTGCTCCAATACATTTGAGAGATGGAAAAAAGTGTATGGGGAAGCTACTACTGTACTCACATTGTAAAAAAGAGTAAGCCTAACTGCAAGAGTAATTGTCAGGATGTAACATCTGATTCATAATTTGACAAGACAAAACAACAAATCTAACACAAATCTGGTATTTTAAACAGACAAAACATAAAAACAATAGAAAACTAATCATATCTAAATGAATGTTTCCAGAAAAACAAATCAAATCAATTGTTAACATAAAGCTTTTGTAGACTATACTCGGAAAGTAATACTTCCCGTAATTCCCAAGTAGGGAAAAAGTATACTGTCAGAAAACTACTCTGAGAAGTAAAAGTTTAGTTTGACTGTTGCTGTGGGGGTCAGTTATTGTATGAAGCTGATTCGATGAATGATCCATTACAAACAGGACATAATTTTACAGTGAGAGAAACCAGTCCCTTAACATTGGTCTTTCCAAGTGTGACATAATATTTGTGGAGCCTTAAAACTTTGTGAGCTGTCAGCTTTACAAGGCCTGTACATTAAGAATAGAAATGAAGTCTGGGTCAAGGGGAAGCAGCTACTTGACTCACACTGCCAGACATTAAGATAGATTGTAATTTAAGAGAGCTAAAAGAAGTACATTTTAAAGTTGTCATTCTACCCCTCTGTAATGCAGCAGCAGAACTATCTTTAGAGGTCAAATGTAATGTAGAAAGAACTGACTAAATTAATTAACTTGATATAATGTTTTATCAATTGCCAGTTAACAATACAGATACAGGCGACAGCGTTTTAATATCACCATCAAATTAGTGGCTCCAGTCTGCCCAGGTCTACTGAAATAAATCTAGTAAATATTTTTATAATTATTTCTAATTCCTTTTTACAGAGGTGCCAAAGACTGATAAGAGTTTTGAGGAACGACTAATATTTAAAACCTTCGTTCTCAAATTCTTTAATGCTTTCACTCCCATTATCTACATTGCTTTCTTCAGGGGGAGGTGAGTGTATTTGGATCTCATTACTCAAACATGATAGAGTGCATTCAAGTTAACTGCATGCTGTTATTGTTGCTGTAGGCTGGTTGGCAGACCGGGAAGCTACTTATACGTGTTTGAATCATACAGAATGGAAGAGGTAATGCTATTAAGACTTTCTTTAAGTGCTTTTTAGTCAAATCAAAAATAAGAATGTTTATTTTTTGGTAGAGATATTTAAAGTAAGCTTGTGCAACAAGATGGATTCTCACAATATGTGTGAGTTCACAAACTCACAAATTCAGTTCAGGGTGATACACATCAATGTGGCGTGAGCCAGGTTACTGTATATATAAAGGGACCATATTTTTTTTTCTAATCTTAATCTTAAAGTTATAATGTTGTTTTCTCATCACAACACCTGGAGCTGTGTTTTTCTGTTTCATTCTCACATGTTTAACACACAAACTCTGCATTTTTAGTTAATTAAGAGTTAATTAAAACACTCTCCTTACTCCTTCACTAGAATCATTTGGATGATTTTAACCCTGGAATTTCCAGTCTCTACTGAATTAAAGGGAAAAGGTAGCTACCACTACATGACATCTCAAGTTGGAATAGAGCATTTCAAGCTTTGGAGATGTAGAAGGCTATTAATAAAGGGTTACTCAAACATGTGTGAATGAAACAAAACTTCAAGTATGTTTTTGAGGAGGTAATAACATTCTAACATGTCTTAAAGTTCACAAGAGTCAATTTAGTGTTATATAAGACTTTTAATTACTTATTTGTCTAACCAACTACTAAAAATTATATCCAAAATACTAAAATGATTGCTTTAAAGCTTTATATGGGTAGTAATCAATATTTATTTACCCTATGGCTCTCCATAGTGTGCTCATGGTGGCTGTCTGATGGAGTTATGCATCCAGCTCAGTATCACCATGTTGGGAAAACAACTCATTCAAAACAATCTGTTTGAAATCGGAATACCGTAAGTACAAGCACACACACCAGCACACCCCCGCACACACACACTGTACATATACACACACACGCACACACAATGGGGTTACTGAATCACACATAAACATATTCTGTTCCTCAGTAAATTAAAGAAGTTGATCCGCTACATTCAGTCAAAGCAGGAATCGTATCAAGAACAGGACAGACAGAAAAAGCTGCAGAGATATGAAACAGACCACTTCCTGGAGCCATTTGCAGGACTAACACCAGAGTATATGGAGATGAGTAAGTAATAGCGTACTTATTAGTGAACATTTTCTTCCTGTCCTAAAGTTAAGTTTATATTTCTGTTTCTGTTTCAGTCATCCAGTTTGGTTTTGTTACACTGTTCGTGGCATCTTTTCCTTTGGCTCCATTATTTGCTCTCCTCAATAATATCATTGAAATACGTCTTGATGCAAAGAAATTTGTGACTGAGTTGAGAAGACCAGTGGCAGCAAGAGCCAAAGATATTGGTAGGGTAGATTATTATTTGATGAAATAAATTTATTTATTGATACATAACATAACATGTCTATTGTTACAGGTATATGGTACAACATACTTCGAGGTGTAGCAAAAGTGGCTGTTATCATAAATGTAAGTTAAATGGTCATTGCATTTGGTCCATTGCCCTGTTTGTTTTGCCTTTTATCTTCAGTAATTCTATGTTTTGAATATTATTCCTAGGCTTTTGTGATCTCCTTCACCTCGGACTTCATACCTCGGATGGTGTATCAGTACATGTACAGCCCTGATGGCTCAATGCATGGTTTTGTCAACCATACTCTGTCCTATTTTAATGTTAGCCACTTTCAAGAGGGAAAAGAGCCCATGGATCCTCTGCGCCTTGGTTATCCAGTGGATATTTGTAGGTAGGTGGATATCAATTTCAATTTCAATAACTGTAGAAGACTTAATATATTTGCTTCTTTAAGGTATAAGGACTACAGAGAACCGCCCTGGTCAAGTACGCCATATGATATTACTAAAGAGTTCTGGGCTGTACTGGCAGTACGACTGGCCTTTGTCATCGTTTTTCAGGTACATTAACTACACGCTCAAGTTACCATTTTGTACAAAAATAAGATACAAATAAAATATTGGGTTTTTATTTTCCAGAATGTTGTGTTGATAATGAATGACATTGTGGACTGGTTAATACCTGACATACCTAAAGACATCAGTCTCCAGATACATAAAGAAAAGATTTTGCTGGTGGAACTGTTTATGAAAGAAGAACAAGTGAAAAAGTTCACTCAAGAGGAGAGACTGAAGCAACTGCATAAAAGAGGAAATCAAGTGTAATCTGAGCACATCAGAGCGGGTTTGAACAATGAGAACTGTACAGGGCTTAGTAGAGATAGATATGTACTATGTATGTATGTATGTATGTACTATGTATGTATGTATGTATGTATGTAGCATTATGTCCACATGTCTAACATTCCAAAATGTGCTTTTTTTAAATGTATGTTTTTACACAGCAGCAGTCTTAATCGACCAAATAACTTTTCTTCTTGAAGGCCGTGAGTCTTAAATCAAAGAGTATGTCATTAAATTGTGTCTATCATGATTAGTGATCTACACATTTTAAACATCAGTTCATGAACCTATGCTGCAATACTGCTCCACTGAACAGGTGAAAGTGGAATATTGTATACAGTACATTTCTCCCCAATTGTGAGCCAGGGCTTTGTAATCTGTCATATACACATGTTTTTTGTTTTTTTATGTTTTCTTGCTTCTGTAGAAAAAGAAGATTGCAATTTAGATTTTACTTAAAAGGAGAAATATAAATATATATAATATGTAATAAATGGAAAAATTAATAATTCTTAACCAAAATATTGCTTCTTTAATGTGATATTCAGCTGGGCCCCACTAGATGGCACTATATATTACCTTAAAGAAGGCTGCCTATTCACATGAAGACCGAGCTATTGGTACTGCTCTCACCAAACTCCCAATGCAATAAAGATGTCAGAAATAATACAATATTTATACATATATTGAATCATTTTTTAGTCTCCACCAGAGGAAAGGAAAATCGACCTAAACTGTGTTCTGTCACAAACAAAGAGCAACTACTACAAGATGAATCTATGGCCTTTGGAAAAAGTGCTGTGTTTTCCTTCGAGTGAAACTTGACCAGAATCTTACTTTCCTCCACATTTGAGTGGGTGTAAAACTCCCCGAAGTCTGATAAGTGCCTGCCTAGTGTGACAGCTATCACACATATCTGCATGCAGACACCACGCTCGTGATAAAACATATCTGCACAAGATTGGCATATTTTACGTTGGATGACTGACAATTTTACCACAAGAGAAACTTTATTTTTCTGTAAAACGTCATTTCGTCTGATTAGTACTTCCTGACAGACAGTTCCTCTGACAGCATCATATAAACCAGCTGAGTTTTCTCATGACTGTCCCCGGGAGGCAGACATTGCTTCACCACATCCTTCTCCTAATATAGCCTATTTTTCTAGTTCTAATCTAATTTTCAACCAATCATAATGACATGTATTTGTTAATAATTTGCTTTGGATGCCATAGTACCTTATTACGTTACTAACCATCAACCAAACAGCAGTTAACAAGTTTTTGATAAAACAGAATGAGCCTGACAACATAAATTGGAGTTCGAATAGAACAGTGTGTCCTCGCTCTCATGTTAGTGCCATCTGACATAAAGAGAGATAATAACAGTCATTGGCCAAAAACCACCAAAGCTCAGCAAAGTGTATGGTTTTTAAGGTCCAGGGTGAAAATAAAAAGTCTTCTCCTCATCAGGGCCTTTCAATAGTACAGCGTAATTATTTTTATTTCAATCATAAGAGAGCCTTTATTGGAGTAAGAGCCAGGGAAATAAAGGGATGAGAGCTGAATAATCATTTAATTAGTGCGACTGTGTAACCACATTTCTGGGCTGGCTCAACCTTGCTTCTGAAAAAAAGAAAAAAAATTCTGGATTCATTTTTGCTCTGTTAAAGGTGCACTATGTAAGTTTTTGGTTGGGGGTCTGTCGACGAACATGGGTATTTTTACCAACAAAGACATTTCCCTTTGTTTATAGCCATCTTTTACATGCAAGCAGTTTCGCGTTTGCGTGTAAAGTGAGATAAACAGACTTTTAAGCTTTTGCTATGATGATGATCATGGAAGCATTCAGAATATCAGTCTCATTTCTTCTGGTGCAAGCACTTTTCACATGTTTGCATTTGCATACACAGCTGATGAATCATATCAATGACCAGAGACGAATGAGGGCTCGGAGGTCAGCAATTTTGCCACATCTTTAGCATATCTGTAGAGAGGCAACCCCCCCCCCCCCCCCACTGTAATGCATGTTTTTCAATGATGGCGCTCGATGGCCTATTTATGTGAGTTGATGTAAACTAAAACTTTTTTGAAAAATGTGCATGATGCTATTTTGGAAAATGGAGGGAGGTAAATATTAATTTCTCAACATATCCCGGTGTGTGTAAACATAGCCTTTTATGGATATGTGATTGCTCTGCCTGAAATGTTCCACAGTATGACATTAAACTGCTCTATTTTACATTTATCCAATTACAGGTGGTTTTATATCTTAAAAATAAAAATAAAAACTGTGAGCGGGGTTGCCTCTCCACATATCTGACCTGTAACATGGTCTGGTTTGGTTTTCATGGAAATAGAAAGGTTTAATCCCATACTGTGAAACATTCCAGGCAAAGCAATAACATCTCCATTGAGAAAAGCATTTGATGGACCTTCCACCATGCTTAATAATAATAAGTGTGGATTATTCAGCTTTGGTTGATAAATTTGAATGAGAATGGCTTTTAAAAAGCTGAAATTATCCAAATGATTCCAGTGGTGGTGTATGCAGTTTTGAAACATTGTGAAGCACTTCTTGTTTTCCCACATGATCACAAGGTACAAAGTGTTTTTGGTGAGAGAAGAACTCAGCCTAAATATGCAGGGTTTCTGCGTTGAACATGTGTGAAACAAAACGCAATTCCAGGCATGTTTGTGATGAGGAAACAACAATATAACATAGATCAGAAGACAGGGTAATATGGGCCCTTTAAACCAAGAGGCAATGAGAGTTTGCAGACATTGACGGCTGCAAAAACAAGCTAGTGACAGGTGGTATAGGACTAAGGTTTTAAATAGTAGTGGTTGCATTCAAGGGAGTACTTCAGAGTGATCACAGACAAAATGCAGGTAACAGGTTTAAAAATAGAACAGACCGCCTCATGAATAACTCATTTTATTGTCACATCTAATCTGTGACCTTTTCAATATGTGACTTAATAGAAGTGGCACTTGAGATGAGACCTTTCTCCCTCATTTATCACTTGGTCGTCCATTCCTCAATTTTTAACCTGATAATAATTCACAGCCTTGACAGACACACAGTGTGAGGGACAGAGGAAGCCAGTCTTACCAGAAGGTGTTGGAAAAGAAATTTGTGCATAGGAGGTATAGTTTGTGCAGTAATAATTAAAGGTCCTATATTGTGCAAAATTTACTTTTGTGAGCTTTTAGACAGATTATAATGTTACAGCATGTTACAGCATCAAAAACATGCCCGGAGTTGGGTTTTTGTTCACACATGTTTGAGAAATCCTACATTATTAGTCTGTCTACATCTCCAAAGCTCAAAATGCTCAGTTCCACCTTGTGATGTAGTGGTACTTTTCAAGTTAACAGCTACCTTTTAATTATTGTTCCGTGAGTCAAAACTGGCAATTCCAGGGGTGAAATCATCCATCTTCACTAATGAATCATCTTCAGCAATGAAGGCGTACGGTCTTATGACTCACCTTATGACAACACAAGGTGGAACAGACTGCTTTCTGTTTTGAGAGGAGAACACAATTATGCAGGATTTTTTATTTAAACGTGTGTGTGAATGAAACAAAACACAACTCCAGGTATGTTTTTGATAAGGAACTATTATGACAAATCAGAAAACAGCGTAATATAGCCCTTTAAAGCTTCGCACATGAGGAAAAGGAGTCAAAAGGATATTTTGATCATGAGGTTGCATTTTGCTTGTCTAATTTAAAGGTGCACTGTGTAACTTTCTGTCAGAGGATCCATCAGTTGCTTGTCTTTATGGAAATGTTATTGCTTTGTCTAGAATGTCCCAGAGTATGGCTTTAAACTCATCTTTACCCGTGGCGACAAGCCCATCATTCCTCCAGGCCAAATTACAAGCCTATGGGACAGTTTTTGAGCAGTAAAACACCAATAATTGAATAATTGCAACAATGATGTGTTTAATGCCACACTGTGAAAGCACATTTTTGGCAGCTCCCCAATCAGAAAAGTTACACAGTGCACCTTTAATCTTTACAACTGGTTTCACAGGCTGGACTGGACAATATAAATGTTGTTGAAGTTTAGATTAGAAAAACAAGAGCCATATTCTCTGGAGCTTCTCTCAAAGTTGAATGGAGTAATATAGAAAAGGTGGATGGGGTTATTTGACAGCCCTGGGGCACCTCTGATATGTTACCCGTTTCCTATGGGAGCTGCACTACTTCTCTATGAACTTTATTGTATGCAGTCAGCAATAAGCCAAGCCAACCAAAGCTTAAACCTGCAGGGCCCCAGTCTCACACTGCTTAAAAACAGACTGCGCACAAAATTGGAAAGATTAAAATATAAGTGATGAGTAGTTGTATTTTGCATATAGTTATCAGTTACAATGGTAGATGTTATCCTATTGATACTTTGCAATGACATCATGCCAGGGGTGTTCGATATGTATGTTTATGGTGGAATGTTCAGCAGTTATGAGGACACAATGCAGACAATAGCAAACACAGGCTGTTTTTTAGGTCGTATGAAATCTCAAGAAGAAATACAAGACAAATTTCCTGGAGCCTGTGAGTAATACAAGTATTCATGGTCCTGATAAATGTTTGATTTTCTACAAAAAGTGAGAGACAAATTGCAAAACTGTTGGCTAATGCTACTAGAGAGGGTTTGTTTAACAGTAAAATCAGCTTTTTCCAGCCTTGTTCCAGTTAAGTCAGTTCTTTATGGTCAGATTATGTTAAAACAAAGCTCAGATATAAGTCTAACTTGAGTAACAGAGCTTCAGACAGAACAGTGCCTTAAGTTAGCGCACCCCATGGGAACGCTGTTGAAGCAAAGTATCAATAAGCAGCACTGTTAAAGGGACAGTGCAGAATTTTGGACATAGGACCTCATTTCCTAGTGAGTCAGAGCGTTGGAGACATCTGGAGACACTTTTTAAAATATCCCATCAAGTCCTTGTATTTGCAGAGGTCGCTGGTGTTAGGCTAGTGCATGTCAATGGCCATAGTTATCCTGTCTGTCTTACCCACTCCACAATTGTCGATGTGAATGTCTGTGTTGATAGAATAATTTTAGAAGTAAAACCAACCTTGTATTTGAAGGATTTATGTCTGAGCAGTCGCAGCGAGTTGTACTTCCTGATAGAAAGCTTGGCACCGGCGGACTGATATATGAGAAAATAGTCCCTCATCATGCGACGATTCATGTGATGCAAGATAGTTTTATTTGAAACATTATTCTATCAAGACAGACATTTACATCAATAGTCTGGTGTAATAATAGATTTGTTTCGGGTGTTTTGTGGAGTGGGTAAGACTGTTTTCAGTGGCAGGATAACTATGGCCATTGACATGTACTAGCCTAGCACCATCGACCTTTGCAAATACAAGGACTGGATATAATATTTTTTTAAAGTGGCTCCACACGTCTTCAACACTCTGGCTCACTAGGAAATGAGGT